AATTGTATTATGTATGTCTGTCCTAATTAAAAGGTTTCATCCATCAAATGGTTTGTTTAATGATACAGAAAATAAAGTAATTAGTGATAATATTTATTTAAAAAATATTATATAATTTAAACTATATTAGATTACACATTTTAAACTATTAAATAAGGACAAACTCATTGATATTAGAAGTTATCTCTTCATCCAGTAATTCTTATTAAGATTCTCAATGTTTATTTAGGTCACCATAAGTTATATTTCTTTTATAATCTTCCTCTTTCTTAAACCCTGCTTATTCATATCAAGAATCACAATTTGTATTAAGCTTTAAACCTAAAACTCTAAATTTGAAATTTTGAGCTCTTAAGCCTTAGATGGTAGCAATGATATAGTTATAAATTTATAATGTTATATAAAATTATAAAATTATAATTATAATTGTTATTAAATATATATTTAATATTATTAATTAATATTTAAATAAAAAGAGATAATTGTATCATGACACGTTACGATTATAAGATTATAATACCACATAAAATTATAACTATGGAGTTGTTTAGATTAATTATTTAAATGTAGATGATAATTAATAATTAAAATCTAATTACTGATAATTATTGTTGTTATTTATAATTTAAAATATCTAATTTATTCAATTAAAACTAACAACTAATAACTATTTATAAATCTCTAAACCAAACACCCCAATATTATTTTCGTATGACTAGCTATTGATGTAGATTTGGTAATTTATTGATTATTATCCAAAAATGCGTGTGTAGAAATTTCTATATGATGCCAGACAATGCCTCTCAATTCTAAATTACATTACAAGCTTTAATTTTTCCTCAATATTATGTTGATTGGAATATTATAACCTTTATTAACTCAAATTTTATGCCTAAAAGTCTTTTAAAAGTTAAATTTATTAATAAATAAATATTATTTATCAACAATTTAAATAATTCAATGATAAATTTTTTTAATTACATGACATGCTAGTGAAGTGAAATAAAAAATAAAAAATAAAAAATAAATATTTTTTATTATGCAATAAAAATTAAAAGAAATGTGATTTTTAACCGTAGTAAAAATTGAATATTCAAGAGGTGTAAATACAAGTTGTAGAAGTGTGATCAAGTCAATGGAGAGCTGTGGTGTTGATTGTTGACTGGGCCCCTACCATGCTAACCAACGAGGAAGATTGTTTGTAGGATAGGTTAAAAAACAGCCGGTCATACACAAGTCGAGTTTTCTTACCCTTCTTTCTCTCTTCACCAACCTTATAATAAAGCCTCTCCCCAACTCCCTCCCACCAGCAGATCAGAGCCCACTGTTTCTTCTTTTCCGTGTCTCGTTTCTCTTCTGCACATTTCCCTGTCTTTTTCTCCTTGTCCTTGTTTGTGTCATAGTGACAGTACTGAGGAGAAGAGATCGATAACTCATGGGAAGGGCTCCATGCTGTGACAAAGCCAATGTCAAGAGAGGACCTTGGTCGCCGGACGAAGATGCCACTCTCATTCGCTACCTCCAGACCCACGGCACCGGCGGTAACTGGATTGCTCTTCCTCAAAAAGCTGGTACCTTTCCCTCTTCTTACGCTTTTCTTAACCCTGATCACTGTGCTTTAACTTTAATTTCAAGTTTTTCTTTCTCTCTCTCTATTTTTTTTTTCTCTCGTTTCTTTTTCGCTTGACTATTTCTAAATTTGAATCGTGCTACTACATGAAACCTAACTCTGGCAGATTCTTAGTTGTGCAGCTACTTTTAAAAATTTTGATTCCTTAATATGTCCTCTTTCCATTCTTTAGTTCAGATTTTCAAGCATATACTGATATATATATATATATATATACACTCATGTTTTGGAACTTCCTCTTGTGTCTGAAGAAAAGTAGACTGGTTAATTTTGCCTGATCATAGTCCATACATTTTTTTACATTTTAATTAGCTGGTATATACCATGGAATAATTTTAAAGTCTTAATGTTGAGTCATCATCTTTTGACTTTAGAAACTTTTCCGTTTTTGTCTTCTTCTTCGTTAACATTGATAAATTTCTAGGCCTGAAGCGATGTGGGAAGAGTTGCAGATTACGCTGGCTGAATTACCTAAGGCCAGACATCAAACATGGAGGCTTCACCGAAGAAGAAGACGACATTATTTGCTCTCTCTACGGTCAAATGGGAAGCAGGCAAGTTGTCTTAATTAATTGGTCGATGAGTTTATATTTTCTTAATTTTTAAATAAATTAAAATCTACTCTAGTTCCGAGTATTATAATTTCTAAAATCACCACTTGATTTTTGTTAGGTGGTCTATCATTGCTTCACATTTACCGGGAAGAACAGACAATGATATCAAGAATCATTGGAACACCAAGTTAAAGAAGAAGTTACTTGCATCAAAAGCTACTCCCGCTGGACCTTCTCTTTGTGTCCCGAAACCGGAACCCTTCAATAATTGCGGTTATCCATCTCAGAATATTACTTCTGCAACATTGCCTATGTTAGCTGATGCTGGTTACGGAGTACTGACTAACGTTAATGGACCCCAAAATCCAATTGACACGTTTTTTCCTTCAGCAGAAACTGGTCGTGTTTTTCAGTTCGGAGCGGCCTCCTCCTCCCAAGAGGGTTCAGAAACCATGGCTGCAGCTGCTAATGGGGATGTTGAAGACGGTGGGATATTACCGGACTACGGATTTGAGTACCTTTATGATCTTGTCCATGGTAGTACTACACAAGATCACAAACCTGATGGGGCCACTCCGATTTTCCCATGCTGACATGAAACCCACGATGACTAGATCAAAATGTTGCTAATTAACAGAGAACATGCACTTGAAAGATAGATATATCAGTAAGTGTTGCTAATTAACAAAGAACATGCACCTGGAAGATACAGATACATAAATCAGTTTAGTGGTTTGCAATTCAGACTTATCCAATAATGGGAGAGACCCACTTCTGCATTAAAGAGGCTTTTCTTATTGATGATTTATGTTGTGCAGTTTAATATATATAGTTTGAGCTAACTACACAACACTTTTTCATATGTATGTATATATATTGGTCTTCTTTTCACATGTAATTTTTTAGGGTTACATTTGGTAATATATGCTATGTAGAATTGCAGTAACATAAATTAATTAAATGAATTAGTTTAGTATAGTGAGATGTTTGGATCTGTTTAACTTAATTTAATTAAAATGTTGTGAGATGAAATTTATGTAAGGAATTAAAGAGATTTTTTTAGTACTTCTCTTTGTGCAAGCTGCCATGGATGTCAGCAAAGGTGGGCTCTTGGAGAATTTTAGTTTTATTTTAAGGCAGAGGTGATAGAGATGGAAAGGGAATTCCATGGCCATGTCTGCTTGTTTCTCACATTGCCAGTGGTCATGAAAAAGTTGCATGGGAGTGGGGGTCTGGCCTATAATTCAAATCTCATTAATATTATGCAGAGAACAGGGGCCCCTCCCTAAAGCTAGCCAGACATTTTTGTTCCCTCTAATTGTTTGCACATTGCAGTTTGAGACATTCATCAGAATGTATTTTTATCCGTATCTTAGTGGGATTTCACGTAGAGATGAATATTCCTTCTTTAGAAGTATGTATTTAAAACTAGCATCTCAACAGTAACATGCATAGGAGACTACTTTTTCTCAATTCCACAACATAAATAAGCCATTTACACACTTAATGCAAGGGTAGAATCTAGATAAGGTGTTAGGATATGGTCGGTGCATAAGTCGAGCAATTTTCTCATACCTCAACCTTTATTTTTAACTTTTTGAGGTCAGTGTAACGCATTCGCTTTTAGATTAATTACTGTAATTTTCTTATGCTTAAAACTTTCTTTTCAAAGTTTTTAAAGTCCAAGGTAAGACCTGTCCCCCCTCAATGGTTACATTGAAGGGATTCAATTAACCCTAGAGGTCAGCCATCTTTTTTGAAAATTCCGAATTTTAGGCTTTTTGCAACATGTGACTATACATCCTAGCATATTTTCTTCGCAAATGAGATGAACATAAAGAAACAACAGAAGAAAGTGA